TAGATGTAGTTTCTGTATCTGACCGAAAGGTGGCACTGTGGTGTGAGCGATGTGAAGGAAGAGGAGTAGAATAAAGGATGATGGGGTTCTGAGACTCGAGTCTACGCTGCCTGTTTTTCCTATTTCTGCCTGAACTAGCTGGAATATAACAGCTGCGAAGGCTGTCATTAAACCAGGGAGTAGGGTTCACTGCAGGAACTGATCTGGTTCTGACAGGACAGATGTTGTCCAGAATGGAGAGGCAGTGCTTGTTAAACTGAGAAGTTAAGGAATCTGGGTCGTTATCAGAAGAACAGGGTGGATCAAAAGCAGCAGAAAAATTGTTAGCTGTGCTCTCATTAAGAAAACGAGAACTAACCATACGGCGAGCAGGAGGTGGGGACGCAGAAACTGACAAGTTGAAGAAAATGCAGTGGTGATCTGAAATATAAACATCCTCAGGACAAACACTGTCAGCATTTAGACTCAGGGTAAAAACAAGGTCTAGAGTGTGTCCCCTGGTGTGTGTGTGGGACCAGAAACATGCTGGGTAAAGCTGAAGGTGTCCATAAGGCTGGAGAAATTCATGGCAAAGAGATCGGAGGGTGGATGTTAAAATCACCAACAATCACCAGTCTGGAGGATAGAAAGTCACTAAACTCCTGAAGGAAAGAACTGTTTGGACCAGGTGGACGATAGACCACAGCATGGCCTTTGGGGGGTTTACCTGAAGCACAGTAGAATGTGTCCTTGCGCCCGACTTTAATCAGCTGCAGTTCAAAGGAAGCAAAGTGACCAGAGGTTGTAGAGCTACAAGGAAGATGGTCTCTGAAAACAACAGCTAGGCCTCCACCACGACCGGAACCCCGGGGCTGGCTAAGAAAAGAATAACCACTCGGGCAGAGTTCAATCAGACCAGAATAATCAGACGGTTGCTGCCAAACTTCAGACAGAAACAGAAAATCCAGGTTTTTTGAGAGAATTAGATCATTAAGCAAGAAGGTCTTAATGTTAACAGAGCGGGCGTTCAATAGGGCCATGCTGAGTGAGGAGGAGGAATCAGAAACTACAGAAACAGCTGGAGTTAGTGGATGTAAATTAGCAGGGTTAGATCCACGGTGTTTATAAAAACCACTTATGGAGGGAACAGGAGGAGGAATGAGGATAAACTGACCTGAAAAAACTTGGATGGATGAACCGTGCTGCAATGCGGCCTGGCGGGAATGCGGAAGTGGCGCTCAGGTCACCAAACAACAAACAAGAAGCTAGAAGATTGCGCCAATGTTTACTAGAGGTGGGAAAAATGATCGATTCTAAGATGCATCGCGATTCAGCCGTGCACAATTCCGCATCGATGCAGCAACGTGACATAATGAGAGTCTCTCCCTATGTCTATGTCGGGGTCAGCAACCGCGGCTCTGGAGCCGCATGCGGCTCTTCCATCCATCTGATGTGGCTCTCTGTGCTTATAAAATAATGAATGGATATTTAAATAAAATGCTTTATATTTTACTGCATTAATTTTACATCTGTACGCCAATTCTAAACGTAAATATTGTCTGCGTAAACCTGAACAGTTCCAACCCGGTCTTACTGTGAGACCGGGTTGACGCGTCACGCTTGTGCGTAATCATAAAGGCGCATTCTGAGCTGACGAGGACGTGAGATTCTGGGATTCTCCTCAGCTCCTGGATGTGTCGCCACATTGGAGACAGGAACAAGCGCTATTCAGCCAAAGTTTCATAATCACGGAACATTTTCTAAGTGACAAGTCTCGCTTCAGTCGGAGGAATCTTCCTGCGCTTTGGTTCTGCGACGTGCTCCAAGCCCCTCTCCACAACTTCAGCTCGCTGTGCGCCGTATGTACGCGCTGACAGCGAGCTGCGCTGAGCTCCGTGTCAAGCTCAGATGGGAATCATTTCTTAAGTGATTAGCTACATCTGCGCGAAACGAACAAAGTGTCAGTTCGTCTGCATGCGTCGGGGTAGTTCTTTCTATTCTTTCTCCGTCAAAATAAACGGTTAAATACGGGAACTGTCCGGTCAACACAAGCCCTGCTTTTGACTGTTCTGTTTTCTTGTGAAAATTGTTGCAAAGAGATATAATTTAACTTAACACCAGAGCCAGGCGCACTGCGCCGTTATCTCCGTCACTGTAAATGAGGGAAAAACAAATTGATCGGATCCTTTTCTGACCTTCCCCACCTACAAAGTTTAATTACAACAATCAAACGTGACAGAGCCTGGATTTGTATTCTGAACAGTCTAAACATGTTTTAAAAAGAAACGCATGACAAAAGTGGCACCTGCTCAGTAAAACCACCAACAGGGTGAAAAATATCAAAATATTGTAGGCAGAGACGGGCTACAACTTCTGGATCCACTTTATATAAATCGTTTTATTGATTAACTTTTTTATGAAAGATAACTGACGTACACGAGCGACCGGTACTGGCTGCTGTCACCTGTGGTGAGCGAACACATTAGCGCTCTGCTGTCTGAGGGTAGGCCCCGCCCACAACGCCGCGGCTGCTGCGGTGTTTTCTTTACTGTGGGAAATGGGTAATAATGGCTCTTTGATGGGAACAGGTTGCCGACCCCTGGTCTACGTCTATGCAGGACAATAAAGTTTTGAGGTTTTATAATTACTTCTGGGGGCAGAGTTGCAATGACATGCACACTGTGTTGCCCTAGCGCCAATTTAAAACAGAAAAGGCAGACAGGGATACAGGGCCAGCATAACCAGTAATCAAAGATGTACCCGTTACATTTAAATCGGATGTCTGGGCTAATTTCGGTTTTGGGATCCTGGATGTGAAAGAATCACTTAACACAGTATTTGCTTACTATGTTTAAGTTCAGTAATATTCTGTCTTAAAGCTGCTCTACCGAAAACATGATTTCTTATATTATTTAAGTAATTATAGGCAGCACACTTTAAAAATTATTGCTCACTATAGTGAATAGATGAATGTTCTGTTTTTCAGGGATTTCTAAATCAAAAAGAAATTGAAAACTATTCTACTGCTTTTATTAAGTAATGAAAATTTTTGTGTAAAGAATCGTGATGCATTTCAGACTCAAATCGAATCGTTAGGCAGATAATCGGAATCGGATCGAATCGTGAGGCAGGTAGAGATGCACACCACTAATGTTTACCAGATGAACCACGCTTTAAGAGAAGTCTTATTCTCACCTGGATTCCTGCTCGTTTACTTCTTTTCCTCCAACGTTTTCCCGGGACCGGACAAACATAGCTGGAGGTGCGTAGCTCGTGATCGTCGTTTGGCTCTGGGCCAGTGCACCGCTCAGGTAAACAACAGGATGGTACGTCCTCGGTGCATCTTGGGCGATCGTGAACGAACGGAAGAACAAAAGAGTCTGGCGATCATAGGAGATGTTAGCAGGGACACTACTGAAGAGGATCGCAGACAGGAGCAAGGTGGAAAAGAGGAGGTTAGTGGAGAAAAGTTTGAAAAAGTGGCCGGTGACTGCGGCTAAGCCAAGCACAGGCGCCATCGTGTTGCCGACCTAAAAGCAAAAGAGTAATGTCTGTAGAGAGTAGAGTCTGGGGGTGCTGTGGGCATCAGGCTGGCCTCATAGAAAAGTGGCGTACTTCAGTAAAGTTGGCAAGTTATTGACAGATTTGACATTTACAGCTTAATAACTTCCGATCAGAAGTTCATTTGAAAAAAAACCACCTCTTTGCCATTGTGGCAAGGTAATGAACAAACTACAACCATATTTTAACAACCTGTCCTCAGCACGCAATGCGTTATGAAACTGCTGCAAGCGCTCAGCGACCGTCTGCAAGTGTAAACACCTCTGCAGGTGATGCAGCCAGATCACTGCAAATGTTGAAAACAATTGAAAAATGGGTAACCACAACGCGACCAGAAATGCCCCAGCCACCTCAGGAGGTGCAGAGGATTTCCCCGGGGGAACAACAAGCAGCTGGCAGAGTCCCGGGAGATATCAGCGGCAAGCCCACAGGCCCGCCCGCAGCCTCCCACCCCCAAGTTGGCCGAGCCCGGAACCCAGCGACCCAGGAGCGACCGCCCCCGCCGGGGACCAAGCAGAGCCCAGGGACCCAGATGGATTTTATAACCTAAATTAAAAGCAAGAGTTCGACTTGTCCTATAGGTTGTCACTATTCTGATTCTTAACTTAGCCACCGACATGCATTGAGACAGCCCTTGGTGTGGGACTGACTTTTGAAGGGGATTTGAATTGTGTGAAATATATAATTATTACACACTTTTGTTATTGCTTTAGAAAGTAAAAAATGTGTAGGGGGATGAATCAAGTTGCCTTTTCCTTTTCAAACACTTTTGTTTTTCTATTTGACTATTTTCCTGTCCTGTCTGTCTCTGATCTTTCTGTATCGCCTCGCAATCCCACAGAAAAACTGCTGCCTGGCTTCCTATATTTTCATGTCATGAGCTACTTTTGAAATATTCAGCTCAAATGGATTGTCTGTCAATTATATTCTTTTGGGATGGTGACACTGAGAATGTTTCTTTGGCAGTGTGCAGGATACAGCTGCCTGGAGTGCAACGATTAACACTCTGCTGCTCTCAGTCCTTGCCGCTCAAAAGAATCCCTGGAGAGTCCAGATAAATCATTCAATATAAGTGGAATCGGGATCTTTTTTCAGGGCTCCCCCTGGGTGTGTGAGTCGATGGCTTCCTTTCAGGTCTCAGTTGAGGCTGAATTATCTGCAGTTTCCTGGATGTTAAAACAACAGTCTTTAGTGTGAGTCAAGATGGAGTCCATGAATGTTAAGTGACAGTGTGATGTAGATCTGTCAGGATTTTCTGACCCTAGAGCTTCACCATCTATTTTCTATCAGAAGCTAGTGCAGCAGATTGGTGTAGGAGACTATTTTCATGTTCAGCCTGAATGACAAACTCAGGGTGAATAACGGTTTTTGTTCTACAGTCTTAATGAATAAAACTAAGGAGGTACTGCCCTCTGGTGGTGAGGGGAGGCTACAACAGATAGATAGCAGGTTGAGCAGGAGACATTTTTTCCACATTTATTCCAAGAAGCAGTTTTGTTTACAAAATGTGAACAGTGGCACAGCTTGATGACACGAACACCTGTGGTCCACACTGGAGACAGCATCAGGCCTGGAAAAAGAGGGAAAATTACAAACACACAAACATAATTTATACAAAATACATTCATGTTCCACCACTGGTGGTAATGCCACCTGTAAAGTATTTTGCTATCCTTTTCCAACAAGAACCTCTGTTCAGATCTAAAGCAGGTTTGTAGACCATGAAGTCATTCTCTCATGGACATAAAAAAACACTATGATAAATGAAGTCAGACCACTCCAAAGCACTTTACGCTACTGTAGGTCATCCATGCATCCTCCTCTCTAGGACACATACACACAAGCCACATTGTAGCAACAACTGCCCTGGGACACACCGACAGTATGGGAGGGAGGAGGCTGCTGAAACAGGCACCGCCTGTCCCTCTAACCTCCATCAGCAGCAGGAAAAGTGGGTCAAATGTCTTGGCCAAGGATACAATGACTTAAAGCTTCTTTCCAGAGTATTTCTCTTATCTGATAGCACCATCTAGTGGCTGACAAGTATATCACACAAAAACTGTTCCTGTTTTTATTAAGATGGCAACTTCACGTTTCTGGTTATAAAAGTGCTTCTGTAGCCGACAAACAGAGTTAAACACGTTGTTTTACAAGTATTATTCTCATGTCATGTTGTGTTTTTATATACTTGTATTTTAGAGACTCACTTGTCCGTGAAAAATTTATGAACTCTGCAAGGTATTCCTTACATTTGAAGAATGTAAGTGGTAGTCTAATGCTAGTGGTTAGTTCTGGTCAGCGCTCAGTTTCCTATTCCATGGAGCTGGGGGGGTTAGCAAAACAAAAAAGACGTATCGCTTACATTTGATCACAGTACATGATGAGACAATCGCTTTTACGGATTTTTGACAAATCATACATCATTTCTGAAAGGGGAAAACTCCAGAAAGCAGCTTTAAGGAGAAGAGATCAAACCTGTAACCCGCTGATTACATAGTGACCTCCTAACCCCTGAGCCACTGTTGCCCCTGTTCTAATAAAGAGACAGTCATCTGTGCTGTTTGTAACAGAGCCAAAGCCATTCCAACACTAACTTTTCAGACCTGTTTAGAATAACAACAGACCAGTGTGTGCCTTAGAGCAGACATGTGGCAGGTATGCTACCTGCTCAGTAACATTGCTGTTCTCAAATGACCCCCCCCCCCCCCCCCCCCCCCACACACACACACACACACACACACACCCCTATGAACAGAACCATTATAACAAAGTTTGATGTGTTTAGTTACAAACCACTAGTAATGAAGACAACTTTGTGAGAAAGGGACATAAATGTGACCTGAGAATGGACCTGCCATACCTCGTCACTGCTGGATGAAGAGTGTCCATGTTTTCCTTCTTTCTTTTCCTTCTTTTTCTTCTTATCATGGCCCTCTTTGTCCTTGGATTTGTCTTTGTCCTTAGATTTTACTTTGTCTTTGTCTGACTTGTCCTTGTCGTTACTCTAAAGCGATAAAAACAGAAATTTAGATTAAATGAATAAACTACACTGATGCATCAGATTCTGGCTGAAAACTGGAATTAACCTTAGAAGTAACACAAGCCACCAGCTGCTGGGTGTGTGAGGCTCTCATGTTGTTCACACATCGTCATACCTTTTTGTCCTTCTCCTTGTTTTTACTCCAGGGCCAGCTAACTTCATCCTTATGTGCTTCCTCCTTCTTCACCTCCTCTTTATCACAGATACAAGACACATGAACAAGTGCTCACACTGGATTTACAACAACTAAATTCTTACAGTGAGCTCATGTTGAACTCATCTTTCACCCATTTGCTTTGTTCCTAAAGAAAGTTTTCATATATTTAAATTTGTTTAAAGCAGATTAAAACTCACCTGATGAGTCCATCATACACCTGTGTTTGTCTAAATCCTGTAGCCTGTGACGCTTGCTTCTCTGACAATCTGGAAATGTGTGTGAGCCACACCTGAAGCAGGTAACCAAGATCAGCCACACCCACAAAATAATGGGTCACGCCCACAAACGGCTGCTGCCATTATGACTCTTTTCTTTCAGCTTGAAGCTCCAGAACAAGTCACATGGAGAGTTACAAAATGTGATGGAAAACTGTGACATATATAATTTTGTGGCTTGCTAAACCTGATACTGTCTATAGCTGGAGATTTTGGAAGTAGCAGAGGTAAACAGAACGTGAGGAACTCCATTTTCAGCATACCAGCTATTTTACAAGAGCTATTTTTGAATCGTCTTTGCCTTACGCCCTGGATCACATATATGTTGTACTGCAATTTAAATGAAAACTAATCATGGGTGTTTCGACCACGCCAGTCATGTACTTAGAGATTTATCAGCTTATAAAAGTTCGTAATCAGCATGACTACAAATCGGACGTCGGCACGTTGCATTTATGATGTCACCACGGAATCTCCTCTCCCCTAGCGTAGCTGCTACTTACCACATGACCAGATTTATGGTGGTTCTATCCTCCTGAAGAAGGATTTGAAGTGTGCTGAACTTACAGCCATTTCCCCTCTGTTTTTCTCCATGTCTGGTTCAATGACCTCACTTTGGTGATGCTCATTTGTAGTCCTGGACATATTTTTACACAAAACCTAAGATAGCATTTCTCCCCCTTTAGAAAAAGAGTGCTTCCTTGGTATCAAAATGAGTCTTTAAAATTCATGGACATCATATGTGAAATCCATGGCGCATAACAAGTGGAATTAGAAAATAGCGGGAGACCTATTTGCTTTCCCTTGGAGGCTTGAGGAAAACAAAAGTTGCAAAGTATCCCTTTAATACTCACACAGCTGCATAGTTCTAGTTTTGCTTCCTTGCTTGCCCTGTCATGAACTTTTAGCCTCTAGTTGGCTTACTGAGGCTCATTTACTCGTTGCAGTTTTGTTAACACATATTTGCTAGGTCATATTAACAAAATAAAGCTAAAAGTCATCAAGAATTGCACGCATCTTTGGCATGACCTGTTTTCATGACTAGACACACTAAAGCCAAACTTTTCTCTTTGAGGACCACCTTGTATGTGTCCAAGACAAACCAGGACTCCAACTCCTACCTGCATGCACATAATAAAATTAATAAGTAAAAACTTCATACTCATAACTCACACAGAGATATAACCTTCATACAAAGTTTAGACTGTACTGTAGTGTGTGTTATTGGAATGTTATTATTACAAATAGCATCTTGGTAATCTCAAAACCTCAGCACTGACACAATTGTGGGAACCCCTTTGGGGGTCACAGAACCAAGTTTGGGAACCACTGCTCTAAAGTGACCAGGCTCAGAGTGTGTCACATCTAAAACATTCACGGTGGAAACATGTTCTGTGTTCTCAGTCCTTTTAGATAGAATGTGACTCTCTGATCTCTCTGCTTTGGTAGATCATCGACACAAATCCGTGATGAATTATATCACCACATTGCCCAGCCTCAGGCGTGACTGCAAGAACGAGATTGTAGATTCAAGCTGCTGAAATTAGTTTTCTCTACAGGGGACCTGTAGCCTAGTGAACTAGACCAAATTCTTGCTTTGCAAAGAATGGTCTAGGCATGCTCCATTGGAACCTCAGCAGCTCCTACCAGGACTCTGGCTAGCCAATCACAGCTCTCTAGAGGGGTTTCAAACACATAAAGAGCTGTGATTGGTCCATAATGGTGGGCCAATCATAGTGCTCTATCTGCTTAGTGAACAAATCACAGAGCTTTATCCGTTTTGTGGGCCAATCAGGGCACTCTATATGCCTGGTGGGTGGGATGATGCAACAGAGTGAAACAAGAGTATGTCACATTCATTGTCCAGTGGAATGCAGAGATCATTTGAAAGACACCGGTAGAACCCGCCCCACAACCGAGAGCCGTCAATGGAGCATGGCCAGACTAAAGAATACATTTATTTAGTCTGGCTTGCCAGGCTAGGGGATCTGGGCTCTTCCTTAGAGACAGGGTGAGAAGCTCCGCCAATCAGAGTCTCCCACTAATGGTAGGTGTGCTTTTGAGCCGGCTAATCAGTCAGCAGTGGGCGTGTCAGCCCCGTTTGGCTCCAGGCACACCTCCTTGAGAAGAGGGCTGAAAAGGAGTTGAGTTGTGTGCAAGAAAATCCAAGGCTACCTAAACGAGAACACTCCCAACCTGGTCTAGGCAAAGTGGAGCTAGTGTGTAAGGGCCATATATCTCTCAGCTGGCCAGGGAACGCCTTAGGCTTCCCCCGGAGGAGTTGGCCCAAGAGGCTGGGGAGAGGATGGGCCTCCCTACTTAGGTAACTACCCCAGCGACCCGACCCCGGATAAGCGGTCGAAAATGGATGAATGGATGGATGGCAGCAAGATCGAGCCACTAGCAGCCTAAGTAGAAAAGAACCAAAAAAGTTGCAGATGTTGTAAACACGTTTGGGACAGAGGAGAGGTCTCTGTCAGTAATTGGGAAAAAATGGTTCAACATGAAATTGAATATGAAAAAACTTAGAGTAACAGGTTGTTACTTACAGCTCACATTTAAGGAGTTGTATACGTGTTCATGTTCAAAGTCCAATGCATTCAGGAAAAGATACTAAGAGAAGACCTCAGGGCTCACCAAACTAAATCAAACTATAAACTATTGAGGAAAAACCAAAACATGAAATATTAACTCATTCGCTGCCAGCCGTTTCCTGATCGCTAAAGGCCTTCGCTGCCAACATTTCTCGCTGTTTTAATGTATTTTTAAGAGTCACAGAACGTTGCACGCTAGGATGACGTAGACGCCAAAACAACCAAAACAAAGCGGAGACTCACCTCTTACATCAGGATGAATCTTTATGTTTCGAGCGTTATCCGTTCTTTTATAATCTGTTGTTGAACTGTGATCGGCAGACACTTTTCCGGTTCGCGCCTCACTTTTTTTTTTACAGGAACGGCCCAAAACGATCTCCTAACACATGGATTTTCTGCTTCCTGATCATGTGACGTATGCAGATGAAGATCAGCTTCAGAGCTGAGGTGTTTGTTTTCTCGGCACGCGGGCTCGATCCGATGCCCAAACAGTTAAAAAAAATGCCAATGACGACTTTAGTCTGCTCAAGTCCTTGTTTTAGCACAGTCATATTCCTGGTACAGTCCTTGATTTTTGCAGTAATCCTGGTTTAGACCTGTTATAGGATAATCTTTCTGGCTCTCGAGGAGTACAGACGCTTCCCTCTTTCGCTCCCTTATCTTTTTTTCCAAAGGCTCTTTGTCCTTTCTGCCCACAGAGCGCTTCTCTGCATTTCTTCTTAAAAACTCTACTTTTTACTAACCATGAATTTGATAAAATGGTCATTCAATGCGATCGATAAGATTTTTCAACAATGAGAATGGAGCAGGGGGCTCCCACATGTCCACAGGGGACACACCCGGTGGGATATATTTTGGATTCCTGGAAGGAGTGGAAGATCATATGCCTCTCCCAGCTGTCCATTGAGGACATCGAAGATGTGTGGATATTTGGTCTGATGATCACTGGATTTCTCCTGATTGGAGTGGGAGGATATCTGGTTTTCTGGAAATTTGGGAGGATGGGAGCGATTGGAGGATGACCCGCACCCACGAAATGATAAATGACCCGCACTTGTATAGCGCCTGTCAGAATAAGGACTCCAAAGCACTTTACACTACAGTGTATCATTCATCCATTCACACACTCATTGACACACAGATGGTGATGTGCTACAATGTAGCCACAGCTGCCCTGGGGCGCACTGACAGAGGCGAGGCTGCCAAGCACAGGCGCCACCGGTCCCTCCGACCACCACCAGCAGGCAAGGTGGATTAAGTGTCTTGCCCAAGGACACAACAGCAGAATTCTCTGTCCAGAGCCGGGATCGAACCTGCAACCTTCTGATTACTGGACAGCCCGCTCAACCTGTTGAGCTACTACTGCCCCAAGCAGCAGTACTGGAACTGGTGCCAGAAAGCACCGTCCGTGTGGGGACTTCTCAGACTGGGACATTACTCGAGGTGAATCGTAAGCTGGACAATGTTCTAGCAGTGATACCGGTATTAGTGCACAAAATGGATGTCATCTTGGAGAGAGTCACGGGATGGTATGGAGCAGTTTAAACCCAAAATTGGCTTCACTGAAAGACTGGAAATGATCAGTTTATAGACTGGAGGCAGAGAGGAAAATTATCTCAGCCTGACCCAAACAAGTTCTTGTTATCTGAATCTGACGCCCTGGTGGCCTCGAGCTGCAAGCAACTAAACCCCCCCACGAAGGAATGCAGACAGATGCAGATGCTGTGAAAACCCAACACCCCCCCCCCCCCCCACCCACCCCCGCCTTCGGATTGGAGTCAATGTGCTCTTCGCTTCTCCCAAGATCTCCCTCCCACCTGTTACTGTACAGTAGATGAGCGCCCTAGATGGCTGCTCTCGCTGGGGGAAACAGGATCCAAGCCGAGCCACCCCCACCCCCACCCCCACCTTCCTACTGGAGTCTCATGTTATGTTGTGTTGTCTGAAGTCTGTTGCATATCTGTTTGAGGTGTTGTTTTGCAGAGCAAAGCTGCCCTCCCGGTGGAGGGTAACTCTGAAGTGCATTTTTTCCCCCTCCACCTGAGCCAATCCTCATGTAACACACATTTAACCCTCTTCACATGCTCTCACCCCACACCTCCAATCTCTCACGCTAAACCAGCGCCTGCGCTCCCCTAACGCACATCACGCACAGAGTGTAGGGCTTATGAAAAATAACAGATGATATTAATTATAGCATTAGCTACTGAACAACATGCACACAAACAACACTTAAGTAATAATTTAACTGGTGTTGATTCACACATAATCCCGTCAATATAATCCAAGCCTATGTGCTTTTTTCCGCTCTGGTTGTGAGATGGGCAGAGCGGTGAGCCTGTTTAGTGGATGCAACTACATCATGAAGTTAGCTTAACATGATAGATTTTTTTTTTGGCAGAAATAATAACTGGTAATATTATGAATGATATGATATTG